CAAACAACACAAACACCACAAACGCCACAAACGCCACAAACACCACAAACGAACACCACAAACGCCACAAACACCACAAACAACACAAACAACACACACACCACACACGCACCACACACACCATGCACACACCACACACACACACACCACACACACACACACACCACACACACACACACCTCACACAAACACACCTCACACACACACCACACACACACACACCACACGCACACAAACACGCACACAACACACACACACACCCACACAAGCACGCACGCACGCCCGCCCGCCCGCCCGCCCGCCCGCTCGCCCAGCATTCGCATCCGTGCGCTTGGCGCATCACACGTTTGCTCAGGCGTTCGCAACCACCAACAATGCGCCAGCCCCGCCTTCGCACAGCGCGCACGCAGCCCGCTGCCTGCCCCATCGCGCTTCACGCGCCACTGCGCACCAGCGCCGCGGCCACTGCCGCGCCTACGCGCCGCGCACGCGACCGCACACGGCACCCTGCAACGCGCACCACACATGCCGCACACGCAACGTACCCGCACGCCGCACCTACCCGCTGCACACGCACACAAACAAACAAACAAACAAACAAACAAACAAACAAACAAACAAAAACACACACACACAAAAACAAACAAAAACACACACACACACACACACAACACACACACCCACTAACACCACACACACACTCACACAAACACACACACACACACACACACACACACACACACACACACACAAAACACACACACACACACACACACACACACACACACACACACACACACACACACACACACACACACACACACACACACACACACCACACACACACACCACACACACACACACCACACATAAAACACGCACACGCACACGCACAACGCGCACACAAAAGACGGCACATTACCATAACAAACGCACACAAAGCACCGCACCGCACTGCTACCGCGCACACGCCACACGCATCACGCCACGCGCACGCGCACCACTAGCGCACGCGCACGCGCACGCGCACGCGCACATCGCAACGCACGCGCGGGCGCGAACACGCGCACTGGCCAGCGCACAAGCGCACGCGCACGCACACGCACAGCCGCACAGCCGCGACGCTGCGCGCACGGCGCAAGACATAAACCCACACAGCGCACGCGCACGCGCACGCGCCCTAGCGCAGGTACGCATGCCAGCACCCGCGCCAGCCGCCAGCCCAATGCCACCGCCGCCACGCCCCGCGCCCGCGCCCCGCGCCTGCGCCCGCGCCGCGCCCGCGCACCGCGCCCGCGCCCACGCCCGCGCACCGCGCCCGCCGCCCAGCCGCAGCAAGCGCCCGCGCCCGCGCCCCGGCCCGCCGCCCCCACCGCGGCCCGCCCCGCACCGCCCGCCCCAGCCCCGCGCACCGCTCGCCTGCACCCGCCCCGCACAACCCGCACACACCACACACAACACAACACAAACACACACACACACACCACCCACCACCACCCACCCACCCATCACCCACCCACCCACCCACCCACCCACCACACCACCCACGCACCCACGCACCCACGCACCCACGCACCCCGCACCCAGCACCCACGCACACGACCCACGCACCCGCGCACCCGCGCACCCACGCACCCGCGCACCCACGCACCCACGCACCCACGCACGCACGCGCGCACGCACGCACGCACCCACACACACACACGCACACACACACACACACACACTCAGACTCACGGTGACACTGACGCTCACGCTCACGCCCACACTCACTTACGCACTCACTCACTTCCTGACGCTCTCGCCCAATGGAAGCGCCGCGCAGCAACCGCCTCCCATCACTTAAGCGACATCACGGCCGCTGGCACGACCGTCGCCCAAAAACTCTAGAAACCAACCAACCCCCAAAGCCGGCCCAACTTCGGTCAAAGCTCGCCAAAAAAACAGCGAGATCGTCGCGCGCAATGATTCAGGACGGGGAAAAAAAGGTTGACCCGCAAGTGCGAAAAAAAGGCTACGTCTAATAGGGCAGTCCAGCCTAAAGCTTTAGTACTGGTTAGGTATTTAGAGCAGAACTCGGTCGCGACATTCCGCTTCTTTATATGGGGTATTTAATGAAAGGGGGTGCAGATTGTTTGTGTGGATTGCATTGGCGGTAGCAGCTAAGTGACAAGTTTCCGGGCTCATTTTTGACGGGTTTCACAATTTGACAGGGATTTGACCGTGTCTGACCGGTTCCAGGGGCGGCGATTTGGCATGGGGCGGGTGAGGGCGCAAGGGGCTAAGCTTCTGCTTGGAAGGGGGGGGGGCGGACAAATTGATATATATATATATATGATGTAATATGTTCATAAACATATTATGCATACATGTATATATGTATATATTTATGTGTATATATATATATATATATTTATGCAGCATATGTAATCTTTCTGTTATTTGTCACGCGCACCATTCGCCCGCCGCATTTGCGCGCATCAAAGCAGGGCCGACCAATAAGGTTGGCTATTTGGCTTTTGGGAGGAGAGGAGTTTGGTACGCACGCTGTAGAATCACCGGATTGAATTCATGACGTGGTATAGCCACAAGATAGAAACATATAATACATGTATCGGTGTACGACCATCAAGAGTTCCCTAGGAGGCAGGGCTTCTTTTGCTCTTGCCGCCTTACGCGTCTCAAAATGAAGCTGAAAGTCGCCAACGCATCCAGATCTGGTTGTGAGCATGATTGGCAAGCGCAAAGTGATTGATCTTCCCAATGGGTTTCACACAGAACAGCGACGACATCAGTAATGTCTCTAATAGTAGATGATAGAAGTGAGCATCATAGTGATGGTGACACGATAGTTATAGCGATAATTACAGCAGTTGTGGTAACGATGCTGACAATGACACCAATTAAATGAACACAGTAGCATAAAGATATGAACTGTGACATCAAGGATGCAAATCATAGAGAAGATGGACAGTTGCGTCTCTGCCCAACTCAGCCAACTGAGCTTCTGCTCGAGCAAGAAGCCTGAGCCCAAGAACGAGTCAAAGTAACGTGCACCACAAATTCGTCCGTCCCCTCAGCATACATAACAACTCATAACTTGTCAGCCACCCCTGGACCAAGTTGTAAAGACATAAAGAAAGACCGTGAACTTTATGGCAGCATGAACACACCCGACAAAGCAATAGCGTGAACTCGAGCTGCTCAGCCCCAAGGTTTGAAGATGTAGACACCAAGTGCACAAGACACACGTACTGTTATACGCCCAACAGTATTATAAGCCCATTTGGAACTCTGAACGGGATCAGAGCCAAGTATGTATGTATTTCTATATATATATATACACACACTGTTCTTTGAAATCTTACTTGAACAGCTGCAGCTGAATGGTGGTCGACATTCTTCAGGTACGTAATTTGCACGATTGTGTTTGTTTGCCGCGGGTCACGGTGCCGCTGCATTTGCCAACGCTGTTGAGTTAGCCCGCCGTTTTGGCAAGACGCAGCGCGCAAGGTGATGTCTTGCATTTGCTTTGTCCTGGCCTGTCACTTGGCCGCAGAGGCAATTTCGTTTGGTCTGAAAGTCCTATTGGTTGCCAGGGACACACCAACACCATGGTTTGTTCAGTTCTATTCTGTGTGTGAACTGGAACACAGGCTGATTGCACATGCAATAACATTTACTTGTAGCTGTAGGAAGCTCCAGTCATGTAGCGCTCAGCTGAATTAGAAGGATGCAAAAAGATCAAATAAAGGCTTCATTAAGAAGCCACAATGACAAACAAGAACTGACGAGACCAGAAACCCACATTGCCTTCCAAGCTATACATTCTGACGCCTTTCACGGGGAGACATCGCTAAGGTTTGAATTTGGACGAGCCACCCTGCCCAACCAAAGGCCTCACTGCCGAGGCCTGAGCGGGAGCTCTGAAGTTTAGCCAAACAAAGAGGAGTCCGAATGACTATTAATGTCTTCTTGCTCTGGATGTTTACCGCCTGATGAGAGCCGACAAGGAGGGTAGCTTGTTTTTCTTGCTTCGGCCGCCGATGCTAGCTGGCTCTTGGGGCAGGCCCAAAGAAAGGAGCGACTTTGTCCATGTGCAAACTGTTGAGTGCGACCCACCACGATTGAATGTTATCAGAGCTCTTCGCTGTAGCTTTTAATTACTTGTGCTATCGGGCTGCCTTGTTGGAATTGGGAGTCTGGACGTTCGACACGCAAAGCAGTTGAGTGCTTCATGAATGCAGGGGGACCCTCTTTGTAACGCTGAGGCCAGGCAGCAAGAGGCTTGACAGAGCAACTCAAAGTTTTATCGTTTCATTTTGCATGCAGCCAGTGGCATTGACGACGGCACATTTCAAAACAATCAACTCTGGGTGTCCGTGGGAAACGCCCAGCTGCTGTCTCGTCATGCCAGCTGCGGGGGAGGGGTCAAAGAGACCCGAGCAGACTCAACTGAAGAGTCCCAGTTGCGAGTGGCTGCAACTTTTGCGCCTGTAAGTTCGCGGGTGATCCCCTCTGAGCGCTGCAAGCCATGGGTGTTTGAAAGGGCCAACAGGCAAGTCTTCAGCTGGTTTTTTCTGCAGAGAGCACGTTCGAACACCTGTCGCATTCCATGGCTTGTTGGGCATTCCTCAGAGATGCTTGTCCTTGGCGAGAGTTGCAGGAAAGCTCACCACCAGCACAGGATGCTTGAACCATGATGGCATCCTTCTCGTTTAAACAATTGGACCTGAGTCAACCAACTCGCTCCAAATACGCACAAGCCAGCGTGAGGGCCAGCTACCTTTAATGTAGCCTTGCCCGGCAGACTTGCTGCCAAGTCTAGGTATCACTTGGACACCTTGAACGTTTACCTTTTTTAGACAACTGTCCATTCCTCAGTCCTCTACTTGAAAACTCTTTGGAGGTGCTGCTGTTCAGCCTGCGGCCCGATTGGGGCCGTTGCAAGTGATCCCAATCGCTCGTTTCGCAACCAAGAAAGCGCACCCGGACTTCTTGATTTGAGGTTTGCCATGCGAGCCGTTTCTCACGCGTCAGAAGGGGCAGTTGGACTTACTGAGTGAGGTTCAAGCTTTTAGTTGGTTAGTCACCCGCATGGGCAGCTTGAGGCGTTTTGCATGGACGTGCCTGAAGCAGACATCAGCTTAGTGCAAAACTCTCGTCGCAGAATCACAGATCGGGTCAAGGCAGCAAATCCCCGAGAGATATTGGAGAATCAACCATTGCAGCAGAGTTAGAGTAGCGGACAGCTAGACTTTGCTTTCTGACGCGGTGTGCCCCATCGCGCTGCGCATGAGACGCAGCCGGAGCCTGGGGGGAGGGGACTAGGGTTGATTGGGCTTGGCATGTTGGCAGTTGGTGTTGAACTGAGTGAACAACGCCTGCCAGAGGCAGGAGCGCATCGTTGGATAGAAGTCCTCAAAGGATGCAAACTGTTCTTGAGCATCGCAAGCCATCAGCATTTGGATTTGCTTGGTTCGGTACGAAATCGTTTCCATGTGGAAAACATGCCCGAGCTGCCTATTGTTACTTTCAATTACTTTCACACAACACCTCGATTCCAACCTCTTTCGGTCCATGAGATGCCTGCTAGCGTTGGTTTTTCTGGGGCTTTGCGAAAAGGACTGGTGCCCTGCTGCTCGCCGTTTGCGCGCAGCGGCTCCCGCTGCTGTTCTCAGGCAAGATAAGATCTATTTGCCAAAGGGCAGTGACCCTGCTATCCTATCTAGCTCACCAGGGGATTTGAGTGGCGGATGTTTTCTGGTGGGTGTGTGCAGGAGATCTTCTTGTCTTCAGTTAGACAAACAATATGCTTATTAGGTGTTGTAAAGAGACCAATCCTGTCAAGCGCGGATCGAATCGACAATTGTCCGTGAGGCATTGGACGATCAACGACCACACCCTTTTAAATTAGAAAGGCTTTCTGGGCTGCAATCGTTTTGAACTTCAAGAAGTGCAGCTTTGTCGACGTGGGAGGAGCTAACAAAGCCGGTCAGTTTGATTAACATCGCCAATGATCAACCTCGTTTTTGCTGAAAGTCAAGTGGGCGAGGCCACTGATGAGTCACTTCTTATTTAGCCCACTTCTGATGAATCTTCCCCACCTGATCCACTGCTCTGAAGGCCGCCACATCAGAATGGATGTGGCCAGCCTTCCTCGAGGTCGACGGTTTCGGGGATTGAATTTGCTGTGAGACGCGAGCAGGTTATCTCGACCCCGCCTTTTCGGATCTAGGGGGGCTTGGAAAGAAAATGAGTCAGACGGGACCGGGTGCAGGACCTTCATGCTTGTGTTGGATATCTTAAAGTAGGGAACCTCCCAACATGGTGGGTTTCCTTTGGTTTCCCTTCAAAATAAGCCCGAAAAGGGTACCCTCAACAAAGACGCATCCATGTGGTCCTGGAGTTAGAGTGTTCGGTCACCGCAGAACTGTGGGGTAGAGCGTGGTCGAGAGCAATCTGTTTCGCAGCCAACGCCAGGCGCCCCACTGGATGCCAACCCAAAGCACCTCTCAGCGACTTTTCCGCAATCCGGCGCTGTCGGACTATTCAGGCCCGGATTTTTTTGGCAAAGGATCTTGGGCTTTGCAGCCAGCTTCGCCACGCGTTGCTCCTGCCCAAGGGCTCATTTCGGAGCGGCCGGTGTTGGGGCTAGCTTGGTGCCTCGAGTGATGCGAGCAAAAGTGTCCGAGCCGTTGACCTCACAGCTTTCGCCTCGTTTGGCTTGAAATAGACGTCCCCAAAAAGGTTGTTTTCTTATTCTTTTGGTTCCCTCAAAAGGACAGACCCGTTGAGGTCCTCAGCTACAACATCCTGGCGCCAGCCTTCGTGCGGCCCCTTGACCTGCGAACGGGAGAGATCCAGCCCTTTGCGGCGTTCCAGTGGGCCTCGGAGGAGAGGCACTAGGTCCAGGGGTGGGGCATGGGGCACTGCACACGGAAGGAAGACTTGGACTGGGAGCAGCGGAAGGTGAAAATCCTGGAGCAGATCAGGGCGTGGCGTGCAGATGTGGCTAGGCCGAATCCCTAAACTTTCGGAGGGGAGCAATAGATTCTTCTAATTCATGGGCAAACTCACATTGGACATGGAATAAACAAACGATCTCCAATGCTTGACATTCTTGCACGCTTTCTGTCTTCAGTCAAATAGTCTCTTCTAAGGTGATCTTTAAGTCAAATGGGGATCTGGACTCAAACCTCGGGCTGCAACATGCCTTAGGTGGTTTGCCTACAAGAAGTGGAGTTCAAGGAGGAGTCCGGCTCCTTCAGCCTTCCGGATTGGCTTGAGCTGGAAGGATACTCTGCCTGCTTGCCAGGGGACAAATACCTCACACTCATCGCAGAGAGGAATGAACGGGTGCTGGCAAACAAGGCCATAGGAGAACTTGGGCACCTGGGGGACTCCCTTTTTCGATTATCCATTTTGGCGGTTTGGTGATGAGAAAGGAACAAACAATCAATTCAATTTACTGTCGCACCTGGTTTAATACTGGTACTCTGATTTATGTCAAGTTTCCTCGGCTTAAACGTGACCCCCCCCCCCCACCGTTTCGGTACCATGAGTTATGTCAAGTGTTTGTTGCCGAAAAAAGAAGAAGAAAAAAAGAAGCAACAAACACGGCGCGGGCAAGCATTAGGAATTGGTTTTTGAAGTCGTCCCCAAACCATCAAGTTTAAAGATGACTTGCTTACACAAAAGTAAGGACAGCCAGTCACACAAAGGGGGTTGTCCACAATAGGCCCTGATTCTGTTTGATGTGACTGTTTTGGGGGTTTCTTTAATTCCAGCTTTTTCGGGGGGGGGGGGTTACTGAAACTCCCAAATCAAAGCCTTAGCCTTTAATTTTCAAGGGCGGTTCGCTAACCCCCAAGCTCTTCCCAGCTCAAAGGATAAAGAAAGGCCGAAGAGCTAGGAAGTCCATTCTGCAAGTGGTCCCCAAACCATCAAGTTTAAGATAACTGTACGAAAAACAAAACACACACAGACACAAGCCCAATAAGCCACACAAAGGGGGGGTGCCCCACGGGAGCCAGTGATCCTGTTTGATATGACTGTTTAGGAGTCTTCTTTAGTAAGTCCCGTCAATGCTAATTAGAAACTATGCAATACTAAACTGAGCACAGGGAATCAAAAAGTAAATCCTGGCAATACTAAATTTAGACTAGGCAATACTAACCCAAGTACTGGGAATCTAGAAGGAAGTTCTGGCAATACTAAACTAAGTAGTGGCAATACTAAAGCAATACTTAAGTCATCCAAGCTCCCTGCTAGACCCCTATTCAGGATCTGGTTTGACTGTTGAGGGGGGGGCACATTAAACAAGGTCCAACATTAAGTCCTGCAAAGAATGGGGTTCGTCCTGGCAGGTGGCCACAGGCTGCGCTTTGCTCTTCCGGACAGCGCGACTGGCGCGGTCGGGCACGGAGACGGATGGCAGCGGTGATCCGAACACCTTGGTGTCGGCGTGTTTGGTTGGGGTCGGGGACTTGACGCTGGACCCCACGGCCTTTTTCGCGGTGCACTTGGATGCGCAGAGCGAGGAGAAGCGCGTGGAGCAGCTGAAGAAGTGCCTGGACCGCGCCCGCGCCTTGGGCACCCGCAACGCCGTGCTGGCCGGTGATATGAACACCGAGTGCCTGCCCGGCAGCTGCGTGCAGGCCATGATTTCACGTGAGCCGGTGACGCAAGAGCAGATGGCGCGGGAGTGCGCGTCCGCGCTGCGCCTCAAGGGCGACGAGGAAGAGGACTCGGAGGGCGCAGTGGGCGCAAAGGGCGCGGAGGGCTCAAGCGAGCCCAGTGAGGAGCAGCTGGAGCAATGGAGGGTGCTGTGGGACAAGGCAGCTGTAGCGCCTCGAGAGCAGAGAATTGAATTGCTCCGAGTGCCCACAGGCGGGGGAGTCAGTTTCGATCTTTGTGGGCTTTGTGGGAAGGCGTTGATGGATTTTGGACCTGACGTCTTTCTTTGTCGCGACCTTGGCAGGCCCCACTCGCTCTTCCTATGAACACGGGAAGACAGAAGGCCCTTGCGTGACCTGGAGCTTAGATCCTTGGCTCAAATCGTGGCCAAAATAGACCCCGTGTCAGCGGCTTCGTCCCCACCAAGCAAACACACTGCCTGGCATTGCCTTTCGTTGTTTCAACATGTTTCAACTGCCCAGGACCATGTTTTCTACAGTCCGCGGACGTTAAGGCTGCTCTCAAAGTGGACAGCGCTGGAGGCCACAGAGAGCCACTGCGTAGACTGAGATTCAATGGCCGGAACATCTCGGATCCTAAATGAGTGTAGAAATCCCACGTCGCACGAGTCGTGCAACTAGTCACTGTGCATCAGGACCTGTTGCAACGAGTGGATGCTTGGGACAACTCACCAGAGGCTGCCGTTGGCAGATGCGGGTCACTCACCCAAGCTTTTCGATGCTTTTGATGCGGTCAGGCTGATCCTGACTCTGCTGCCAGCGGGCTGCCGAATGCCCAAAACCCCAGTGACCACCTGCCAGTGGCGGCCATCTTTGAGGCCGCACTTTGAAAGCGATCTTGGGCATCGGAAGCAGGTCATCAGTCGCAGGTTGCAGTACCATGTCATGGCAGATCTGGCTTTTCGCTGATATGTGCGCCATTGTGCGTCAGGCTTCTCCGACGCCATGCTTAGATGCAGCTGCCAGGCGGGGCCTGGTTTGAGGGCTTTCGGCCAAGGGAGAAGTGTTGATGAGTCGACATGTCGACACTTCGGGCAAATGCTCCGTTTAACCTTTTAAGGCCTACCAGGCGCTCTTCGACGTGCATTACCCGCATTGGCATAGTTGGTTGTGGGTATTCATGCAGCGCGAAACCATCGCATGTCTGGCTATCTACATTGCCACATGCTGGCATGTTTGGACTTGGGATAGCAAATGCAATCCTAGACTGAACAGAATAGAGCTGGAAGATATTGGAAGATGCAAATCGCGTTTTCAGGGAGTCAGGTGAGTCAGGTGCCATGGGAGCGGACGTCGCTAGGCAGCAGTTGGAGCAGCGCCTGGGGGACTTGGAGCTGCGGCACAGCAGCCAGTTGGCAGAGCTCGAGGCAGGGGCCGCTGGGCCGCGCTGGGCCGCTGGGCCGCTGGGCCGCTGGGCCGCTGGGCCGCTGGGTGCGTTTTTGAAGGCACCACAAAGAAAACAGCCCTTTCGGGGGCCCCAAAAAGAAAAGACACCCATTTGTATCAGTCCCCAGTAAACTTTTGGGGTTGGTGGGGGACCAACCTAGGGTGTTAGACCTATGGGGAAGATGGATCTGACTTGGTGGAACCTGACCCTGGGACGTGCATACTTCACGACTTGGTGCAGTGTTATATTATGGGGCATCCCACTTTCGGCGGGCAGCATCTTGTAGATGTTGCTTTGGCCCTATGTTCTTAATGGTGAGTGCATGACTTGCATAAACTATGTCAATACATAATGTATGTACTAACATTCTGCTCGCCAAAGAGATGCTTCGATTTGCTGGTTCGACCAAAACCAGCCAGGCTTCCAATCGCACTCTGAAGCGCTCCCAGGGTGCAACACCTCGCTGTCATCTGAGAACTTGGCAGCCTCCTGATGTTCCCTCCAGGTGGTAGCAAGGAGTTCTCTCAAACACGCTGGCAACACGTCCCAAATCGCTCCGTTGCTTTGACAGCTTCGCAGCGTGAGGCCGCTCTGAAGGAAATGGAACCAAAGGCGGAGGCGTGGCACTTCTTGCGTTGGTTCGCGAAACTGTTGGGAGTTAACTGCAGACCTGTACAGTCGGAGCTGCACGTCCGAATTCGTTTTTGACACATTTGCGGCATGTGGACCGGACCCCCATAGCACCAAGTGGTCCAAAGGGCAACACGACCTTCCGGTCGACGGAGGGGAGCCAATTCGCAGCGCTCTATGCGCTCTATATGCCCTCAGGCTGACGAGGTGGCAGCGAAGGCAAAGAGCAAGAAGTCGCTTGGCCGCAAGATGCGGCAAGCGTTCTGGGGCGCTCAACTTTTCAGCTCCTGGGGCTGTCAGCTGTTGTCTTTGCGTATTGGCCGTAGGGGGAAGTTACCCTGTTAAAAATGTAGCGTTTAGAGATGGAGTCGAGTTATGTCGAGTTGCTGCTGCTTTTTCTCGAGCTCTTGAGCTCAGGAAGGGCGATTCTCCAGAGGTGATCGCATTTAAGCAGGACGCGGCCAGCTGCTGTTTCACTGGTCGCGGTATTGTGATGTAGCGCGGGTGTCGGCTGCAAGTTGGGGGACAAGAGTCCCAAGTGTGGTGTTTCGCAGCTTTCGGAACAGTGAGGCAATGTTTGCAACATCAGCAAGTTGCTTGCCGACAATCACTCTCGTTCCTGCGAACCAATCTACAAGTGTGGCGCGATATAAGTGTATGTTTGAGTGGAGTGGTGGAGTGGAGTGGCAGAGCCTCACTCACTCGCTCCCTCCCTCACTGGCTCACTTGGTCACTCACTCGGTCACTCAGTCGCTCGCTCTCTCTCGCTCGCTCTCTCTCTGTCTCTCCTTGTTTGTCTTGTGGGTTGCTTGAGTTGGTCTCTCTCTCGCTCTCTCTCTCTCTCTCTGTCTCTCTCTCTCGCTCTTCTCTCCCTCTCTCTCTTTCTCTTCTTCTCTCTCTCTCCGTCTCTCTCTGTCTCTCTCTCTCTCTCTCTCTCTCTCTCTCTCTCTCTCTCTCTCTCTCTCTCTCTCTCCATCTCTCTTTTTGTTTGTCCGATTGTCCATCTGGGGATAGGCTGCCCGAGATGGCAAAACCCTGCCTGACACGTCAAAATGCGTCTCAAGTTGGTAAATGTTGTTTGCCCGACAAACAAACTGCCCAAGTTGGAAAAACTCTCTGTTTGATATGTCAAACACACCGCCTCAGTTGTCAAAAGCTCCTACTTGCCCGACACGGCCACGACACTGCCCAAGTTAGCAACACAAATCTGCCTGCCATTGCCAACATATTGCCCAAGCTGGACAATGTTCCGAACCGGACACGTCCAACTACTGGCCAAGTCAAAAAAAGCTCCCGCCCGAAATGGCAAACAACTGCCAGCGCTGTATGGCCGCTTTGTTCCTGAGAAACTCCTGTCGGGCAGCGCCATCTTGTCCGTCGGCGACGTGATGTCATGTGCAGCAGTGTTTGACCATGCAACTTGTACATGCTTTTTCTACGGTAAGTTCTCATGAGTACGGCACAAAGCGTCCTTTGACCACTAGGCACCATGTTTTCAACCACTATACACAGTGGACATGCGACTCGTGCCTGAGCCAGCAGTTGTTATCCTGACAAATTGCAGGAACTGTTTTTTGGGAGTCGGTGACTATCTTAGAGAGCTCAGTCGTGCACGAAACTCAGCCTGTGATGCCTGCGGCTTGAAATGCCATCACTTTGAGAGCCCGTCCGGTGTGCCACGATGCGTTCCTTGGATCCTGGTTGACAGATCGCAGGAAAAGCGGCGCCGGAGCAAGGAGCTGAAAGCAAAGCACCAAGCGGAGCGGGAGGAGTTCTGGAGCCCCTTGGGCCAGGAAGCCATTGAAGTGGCCGAAGTACATGTGCTAGGCAGCGAAGATTGATAATTCGTTTAGAGATGTTTAGAGCAAGTTGTGAAGCACTGTGCTCAGTAGGCAATGGATGGCGCACGGTTTTGTTCCAAGAAACAGCACAACACCCGACACAGTTCATCCTGGGTGGAAAACAAGTGCTCCCACTCACCTGGAAGGAGACAATTTGGGCTCAGAGCCTCTCAGAGATGGGCATAGTGATTTCTCACCCTTTGGTTTGGATCATGGATTTGCCACAAGGAGCAATTTAGAAAAGTGGAATCCTCGCCTTGAGCAAGAGCTCTTTGGTCGACAAAAGGTTCTGCATCAAAGCCCAGACCCTGGATAAACGCTACCCGAAACCTGAAGGAACCTGAAGGAACCTGAGCACTTGTCTTTCTCCGTGAACTTTGGATTGACCCGCGGCAATGAGCGTGCGTGAGTGGGTGCGGGCGTGGGCGGTGAGTTTGTGCGTGTCAGTACGTGCGTGCTCTGCCCTCCCCTCCACCGTATGTGCACCTTTGGGGCAGGAGATTAGGGAGCGCTGTAGGCTGTAGTGTGTCATGGATGTGTCCGACACACTGAGCAACGTCGCCGATTGATACTAGCAAATACTAGAGCCCGCCACATACCAAGGCCGAGCAAATTGTAATGTCGAGCTGTTCTGCTGCCGCGCCTCAATCAACGAATACTCCAAGCTTTGCAAATTCAATCCATTGCATCAGGTTCGCCCAAATTTTCGCAACATATCCATGCTCGCATGATGCTAGTACGCTAGGTGGTAAATGGCTCGCAATTCATGTCTAAACTCTCACAGTTGGAATTGTGCGATTGAAGAGACACCCTTGTGGTGGCAGCCCATGATTCATGAAGCATGTCATTTGCATTCCTCTCGAGCCCAAGGCGGCCTGTCAGAGCTGGAGCTTGACTTCATGGAGGCATTGGGCAACTGGCGGGAGACCGGCGTCCGCTGATGTGCAGATCCAGCGCAGCACTCTGGCGACGGATCACTTGGGCCGGTCAGCGAGGCCAAGGAGTTGAAGCGAAGTGACCTCCGAGATGCTCCGTTTCCGGTGGCGATGTACCTGCCAGCCACATGAGGACCACACGCGTCGCCGAGCGCTGAAAACGGGCGCAAGGAGACGGACGTGACCTTTCACTCCCATCAGTTAGTCTACACCTTCGATACCACAAGCCAAGATAGCATGTGAATGCCATTACAGCGTTCATAGTATTGACAGTATTGGCGAGACATGTGAATGTGCTCTGGACTAAGCCGTCAAATTCAACACATTGCTGGCTTCATGGACCGACCGGGATTTGTGCAGCTATTTCTGGCACTAGTCTCAAGGATGGCAACTGAGACCAAGGCAGGAAGGAGCACTACAGAATGTGCGTCAGCGGCGTCATGGTTGAATTTCCAACATCCACTTTGTGCTGCTTGTATGGAGAGCTATGGGCAGTGTGAGCCGCTGCCATCCAAGGCCAGGGGTGGCCTTGTTTTGAGCATGGCAACGTTGAGCGATACTTTTTTTTGCGAATCAGCTGGAGCTGCCACTTTATTGGGCAGGATGGGTGTTGGAAACAAGAAATGATTGCCTGGTACTCATCACGGTGTAAGTGGACAAAACAGTGGTTCAAAGTTCTACATGCCTAAATCCGTGGGCTCAAGGCTGACTTCAATGATGTCAGCAATAAAAACATGTGTGGTCAAATGCTGAAAGGTGGCTTTCTGGAAAAACATATTGGTACACATTGATCGCGTAGTCCGCTCCCCCATAAATAGATTCACCCTAGTAACATGTCGTCCGACATGCACAGCGACCCCATATGTAGCTCAAGGTTACCTGAAAACAGAGCTTCTGGGCCCGGCAAATGCAGAGGAGCGCACGTGGGCAAGGACCGAAGTGGAATGTGCGGTAGGCCCTTACATTGTAAATGTATGTTGTATGTAATGTTATATTCCCAGAAGAGCATTTGTGAGAGGGGACCGTATTAAACGGAATCGAGGGAGCAGATGATTACGATTGCTGACTTCAAGAGCCTCGACGCCGACGTGCCACTGTCCAGGTTCAACTAGCAGCATGGGGAGGGTCAGGAGTATGAGGCCAACAGGCAGCACGAGCGCTCAACATTGCCCTTGTGCAAACAGCCCCCGCAGAACCAATCCCCATGTCGACTCAGATCGGGACCTCGGAGGCGAAGCTCTTCTGCAGCCGGATCACCCGCCTTGCCAGGCCGCCAGAAGTTAGCCCGAGCTGATGGACCCTTTGATTGCAAGCCCTTTTGTACGGAGGGATTCTTCCACATACAGTGCCCCAGCTTGGATGACTCCTGGCAAAGCTTTTTTGAAGAACCGTTGGATTCACAGCTGCCAGCCAGTCCAGTGACTTCCATTAGATGCGCATGGAGGATGCCAGGTGCCGCTCGGTTGCCATGTTGAAAGGTCTCGGATCCAGGTCTCTACTGACGTTGCTTGTTCATCAAATGTCTCAACGGATCATTTTGACATCGCCACTTCCTTCTCTTGGAAATTTATGCAGCCTAGCTGCTGAGGTGTTGACCGCCTAGCGCCAGTGAATAGTCCGCTCCTACTTTTGGGATAGCAACTTGGGCGACCCTCGCAATAGAGGTTGTTTGGCCTTGAAAGGCACACCTCATCAGAATGGCAGGCGTCTGGCCACCATCCTTGAATTCTTGGCTGGGGCTCATTTTCATCTTCGGCCGAGCAGGCAACATCAGTGGCGGGACTCCCTGCACCTGCTTCATGTCATGGAGGCGGGACTCAATTCCAAAAAAAAGAACAAGAAAAACGAGATGTTGGGACGTGGCCATCCCGCTTTTTCGGTTCAAATGTTTTTGTTCTCCAACTCTTTCACACTTTCAGGGAGACTCTTACGAGAACTCCAGGTGGCCTCCCTGCAGCCCGACATCTTCCATTGTGCCTCGGTCGGGCAACATCTCGAACGGCGGGGCTTGCCTGCGTATCAGTCCTAACGAGGAATGCTGCAGTTCTAGGGCTGTTCCCTGATGCTGTTGCTTTCCAAACAGAGTGGAGAACGCCAGGAGCAGTTGTTTGGACAACCAGCCAAGAGTTGTTTCCTGTTCAAAAGCCGGCAGCAAGCCATGATAGCTTGTAAGAAAACGGTTCTGGAAACGAATGATGACCTTATAGCACCCATCTTAACAGAAGGTGCCTCCAGATGTGCAATTCGCATAGCGCCTTCGTGGCCCATGCAACCTCACCGAAGCCGGAGGGGGCCCGGCTCGGCACTGCGAGCGACACATTGGGAGGAGTCAAACGTGACGCTGAGCAACATTCCTGGAATAGATTGAAACCTAAATGAGCATGAACACAACATGCCTCGAACCTAAATGAGCAAGCTTTTCGTTGCAGATACCTCAAGCAGCAAGGAATCAGCTATGAAATCAGCGGCAAATATTGCGACAAATCAATGACTCAGCGAAACTACGGATGCTAAAAGATGCGTCATGAAAGGAGGGTGCAAGGAGGTAAGCTAGACGCAACGACAAGTGGCAAGGCAGAAATCAATTTGAGGTTAAGTCAAAGCAAGAACACACTGGAGTTCTGAGAAGCACAACGGTTGCCAGTTTGGTAGAAGAGAGTGGTTCAAACATCCAAAGAGGGCGAATGCAAGAGAGCTGCAAACATCCAAAGGTGTCTTTGTTTCTTGAAGATGTGCTCTTGCTCGTGCATGGCGACCCACCTCCCACCCACACCCCACTTTGCCGGTGACAGCATGGGAAGTCACAGCAGTGTGAGGAAGCCATGTGCCACAACTCTCGCTCAGTACAGTAGCAGGCATCAAACTACTCAACCAGGAGTCGAGAGCCAAGGCTCGCCGAGTTTACGCGTGCCAAATTATCGCGGCGCACAAAAACTAATTTGGGTACGCTTTGTCTGCCCGGTCGCCTCTGCAAGCTTTCGTGTGGAGTCTTGGGAGAACCTTTTGCTGCATATCAAGTAAATGAGTAGTGGTATTATTTGATTGCGAGAACGCTCACAGCATGCCACTGCACAGAAGGAGTGAATCCCAGAGTCAGAGGCACGGGGAGGCTTTGCATTTGCTGCGGCCGTGATTTGCAGGTAACGCAGCACTCAGCGCCCTGGAAAAGATTGGCGCTTGGCGGAGACTTGATTAAAATTGTCCGAGGAACACTGCTCATGTGCATGTTTGTAAGTGTGCATGGCACCCCTACTTGTGTTGGACAATCTCTCTGTCTCTCTCGCTCTTTTTGTTCAAGCTTTTCGTGTTCAGGCTGTGCTCTCGTGTGTGTGTGTGTGTGTTGGTCGTGTTTGCCATGCACACTTATGGTTTGTGTGTTGGACATGACTTGTGATGTTGTGCTTTTGCAGTTGCGAGTTGTCACTGTTTGGGTTGTTTCTTGGTTGCTGCTGATGGTTTAGCGTGGCTGGTCCCTTGCTTACTTGTGAGTGCGTGGTTGCAGTTGTTGCATATTTCTTGCTTGGTGTAGTTGGTTGAGCTGATGGTTTAGCGGCCGTGTTGAATGCGGGTTGTATATGTGGGTGTATGTGCTGTTCTTGCCACGCTTGTTCATTGGCTTCAAAACGAGTGAACTCCACATGCGTGTTCAGACTGTGTGTGTAGGCTTGCATTTGGTCACTCTTTTAGCAAAGCTGATCGCTACTGAGTGCGTGATTGCCGACATTGCAAGGTTGGCTGAGCTGATGGCTCAGTGGCGATAATGCGTGTGGGTTGTGTAGGCGTGTTTGTGTGTATGTGTATTTGTCTTGCCATGTTTGTTATTTCCGTTGCTAGGGGGGGGGGTTCACACTGTTCCGTGCGTGTATGTGCGTTTGTGTGTGCGTGCGCATGTGCATGTGCATGTGCATGTGCATGTGCATGTGCATATATATATATATATATGTGTGTGTGTTTGTGTCTGTGTCTGTGTGTCTGTGTGTCTGTGTGTCTGTGTGTCTGTGTGTCTGT